TGACTTCCAGTACACAATGATGGACGGCAGTCCTGACTTGCTCCTGAGCCGCAGGCCCTCTCTCCCCTCCTCGGGTAACTGGGCTCTTGCTCTCTTAGTTCTCTAGTGCTGTTATAATAGAAATGCCACAAGTGGATGGCTTTAACAAACACATTTATTTCAGCACAGCTTAGGAGGCTGAAGTCTGAATTCAGAATGCCAGCTTAGAACACTTTCTCTCTCTCTTTGCTCTGGTCGAAGGTTCTTGGTCTCTTCAGCTTCTACTTCCTGGTTCCTGGAGATCTCCGTGTATCCTGGCATCCATCTTCCTCTGGGTCTAGGAGGTTCTCACTGGAGAGACCCTGGGTTCAAAGGATGCACGCCACCCCTGGCTCTTCCTTCTTGGTAGCAGTGAGGTCTCTATCCTCTTTGCTCACTTCTCTCTCATTTTATTAAGATAAAAGGTGTGACCCACTTCTAAGGCTGTGACTCAAGATACACCCTCTATACTAATCTGGCTTCATTAACTTATAGACGTTAGGACTTACAATACATCACAAAATGGGGGATAATGACATCAGATCACAAAAGGGAAGATAACCACACAATACTGGGAATCACAGCCAAGTCAGGTTGACACATACTTTGGGGGGACATAATTCACTCCATGATATTCTATGCTTTGGTCCCTCAAAATACAAGTTGTTGCCACATGTAAAACAAATTCACCCTGTTATATCATCCCAAAAGTCTTAAAGTGACTCCAATTCCAAAATCTTATCTTCTGAATCATCTAAATCGAATATGGCTGAGACATTAGGCATCTGGGGCAAAACTCCTCTTTCTCTGTGAACACTGTGGGAGCTCTGGTGGCGTAGTGCCTAAGGCATTTGACTGCTAACCAGAAGGCTGGCAGTTCATACCCCTTGGAAGGAAGGTTGGGCAATCTACTTCCGTAGTGATACCACCTTGGAAACCCAAGAAGGGGTCGCTATGAGTTGGGTCCGACTCAACGGCAGTGTTTTTTTTTTTTTTTTTGTGAACACTGTGAAATCTAGAATACAAGTTATCTGCTTCCAAAGTACA